ATCAAGGATCCATATGTGGGTTAAAAATTTATATCTTTGGTATATACATTTTTAAAAAAAGTTTGCTTATTGTTGTCTTGTTTTTTGTTTGAAAGAGTGTATGATGGTATTCTCAATGATAATTAAGTCAATATGTACAAATCATAAGGTTAGTATATGTATTATATCAATTTTTATTACTATTAATTTTTGNCTTAANAAAATTAGAAAAAGATGTTAAATAAAAAATTAAAATTTTACTAGAAATTTAGATTAATGAAATACCAATCCCTTCTCAATATATAATGGGATTTTCTTACAAAGGTATAAGAATGTAATTCAAACTGAATATAACAATATTTATAGGAAATTAGTAATAGTCGGTCTAAAATCTTAGATTACAGTAATATAAGTAATATAAATTTAAAAAAAAAATATTTAGCACTTTAATTTATATAAAAAAAGTAATTTTAGATTTTTTCTTCTGATAAAAATAGTAAATAATAAAAGGTGCAGGTCAGTCACCTAATTTCATCTATATAAATGAAAAATAGAGTAATACTCCAAAATATACCAACAAACAAAAAGAGAAAATTTTGTTTCCTAAGATACCAGAATTTCTTTTTTAGAAAGGTTTCTTAATAATTTATTAAAAACTTATGAAGGCTATCACTAGAACTTTCGGCAAAAAATACCACAATTTCTTTTTGTAAAGGCCTCATAACTTATAAGCCCAATTAAACATGTTAGGCCCAATCTAATGTTATTTGTTTTGCAAATAAGCCCAGACCTTTATCGAACAGTCGTCGTCTTCGATTTCCAGAAGCTGTGACGAGTTTTCGCTGGCGACGAAGAGAATCGCCGTCTTCACCGATTCCTTCTTCATCTTCTCCGATCAGGTATATTCTGTCTCTTCTCACTAGCTTGATCTTGTTTTATATGTGAATTTTTGGTTCTATCGCATCGATTTTTTATGGATTGGTGTAAGATCCTAGGGTTTTTCAAGCATTGATGCTGAAGAATTTCACCCAGAAATCGTCTATATCCAAGTCGGAGATTTTGTATGGATCGATGTGTTAAATGTTGATTCTGGGTTTTGTTTCTTCGCTCATATAGATTCTGACGCATTTTCAAGAAGTTCGAATCTGGATTAAGTAGTTGTTACGAACTTTTTTCATGTTGCAACATTCAAAATACGAGCTTATGGAACAGGCGTTTTGATAAGATTCAACATTCAAAAGCAATATATGAGTCTATATATATTGATTTAGGTACTTTCTGTATATACATGTGGCTGACTCGTTCTGTATAAAGATTTTCCTCTCAACATTTATGGTTTGTTCTTGGCACTCATGTGTCGTTGTTCTTGTGGCCAATGCGAAAACCGTTTTGGCTTTGTTACCTCTTTACCTCACTGTATCTCGGATGAGTCTTATCTGAATGTGACACATAAAAATAAATGATGAAAGAAAAAGAGTCAACTTGTTTCATCGATTTGAAGAACTTGAGGTAATACTATAAGCAGATGTAAATTGTTCGTGTAATAAGTAGAGTCTTGTTGAAACCGTTGAGTTGAGGAAGCTTTGTTGAGAACTATTTGCTGCTTGTTTACATTTTGATTTGCATTAGATTTTTTAAGGTATACTGTTGTTTACTAAGCTATGTGATGTGTTTCTTCATGTGGATTTCATCTTCCAGGTCTTTTAAACTCGGTGATATGGGCGATTTCTCGATTAAGATCAGTTCGAAGCTGATCAATCAGTTAGCTGAAGGCAACGATCAACCTAAGAGGAAGGTGAAGAAAACCAAACCCAATGTCTCACCACAGAGCAAGGCAGAACAAGCGAAAACACATCACGATGCAGAGAAACTGAAACCAATGGCAGAATTACCGATGCAGCCACCGTTTTTCTTCCCGATACCGCAGCAAACAGCAGCAAGCACAGAGTTGGAAGCAATAAAATCCGTTTTGAAAGAGAGTGAGAAAGTTCTTGAGAAGGTAGAGAAACAAGAAAAGGACATTGTTCATGAAGTGACAGAGAGAGCCAAGGAACTGAGGGAGAAAGAGTTCAAGATCCCAGAACCGAAACCAATGCCTTGTTCTTCAGATCACGATGCGTGGATGCAATGCTACAAAGAGAACATCGGCGACCCTCTGAAATGTAACGGTTTGGTTAAGAGTTTCCAGGATTGCGCACTCCGATCCAGGCAGCAAGTGAAATCTGAGGAAAAGTAGAGATGCAAAGATTCGAAAAGACTTTTGAGATGAAAATGAAAGAGTTTTTTTTTTTGTGTTTGCTTTCTGAGATCTTATGAATATGATCAGAAAAATGTACTCTTCTCCTTATAATACATGAACCCAAAAAGAAAGCAAAAAATAAGTAGAATCTGTGATTGTTATTATATTCATGAGATCAAACCTTTTGAACTGTGTTCTTGATTTTACTCTTGAACAGAGAGTTTTTTTCCCTTCTTAGATTCTTAAATTGTTGTCTTTCTAGTTCTGCATCCGCTTGATTGTGAACCTCCTTAAGATTA